AGCAGCAGCAGCAGCAGCAGCAGCAGCAGCAGCAGCAGCAGCAGCAGCAGCAGCAGTTCGCAGCTGGTAGCAACAGTTGCTGTCAGAGACGGAAGTGTTGTTGGCCAGGCCAAGCATGTGGCTCAGCTCAGCAGTTGGGCATTTGGCCAGTTGGCTGTAGGTGGAATGTACTGCAGCTCCGCTCAGCCCCCAGCCGCCTTGTGTCAATGGATTAATTGCATTTGCGCGCTGAAGCAGCGCAGCTGCCGCAGTGAAAGCAGCAACAATAGGAGCAGAGCGGAGCATGGAGAAGTAGAACTGACACAAAGTAAACAGAGCTGAAATTTTTGTGTTGACAACTTTGTTAGCTGCAGGCGGTGGTGGCTCTGGCTGACCATTACATGACATGAGATACGCGTATTTTGCATGGCTGATTGAGGCTGCGACTGTGGCTGCTCCAATTCGCGACACGCCACACGGCAGACTGTTGCTGCCACACTTCAGCGGCGTTGCATAAAGCAGCAGACAAAGCCAGCACACACGCAGACACACCAGCACACCTGCACATACATCTCTGGGCGCTAATTTAAAGTCAGCCGTGTGACGACTTCAACAGCCAACTTCAGTTCAGTTCAGCTTGCGACGCGACAACGTGCGGTTGCACAACTTGTTGAGCACATCTCGCAGCGCGTGTTTTTTTACGAACAAAATTTCTGTTTTACTTTTATGGCTGGCCAAAAAACAATTATGGCCATAAATCGAAAGTGGTACGCGCTAAAAAACCAAAAAGAATTCATAATAATAGATATTATGCCAGTTACATGAGTCGCATTTGTGTGTTCGGCGCATGCAAATGTTGTTGTTATCGTCGTCGTTGTTGGCACGCTTCAGAAGTACTAGCCTACAAAAAAATGCTTATATATGCATGTTTTATTATGCCATAAGCAGTGCCGCACACGTTTTGCAAATTTTCATTCACAAATACAGAGAAAAAAGAAACCCAGGCTACAACAACGGCAGTAAAAACATTTGCATGCGAATAGTTTTTTTTAAACAAATTTATTACAGCATGTGACACAAAAAACAAGCGAAAAATTGTTGCAAAATTAAAATAATAACAAGCAAGAGAGAGACGTAAAAATATACACATATATATTTATTTATTAAAGCTAAAAGAAAGCTAAAAAAAATATAATAAATAAATAAAAAGAAAATGTTATTTCGTCGCAGTTGTACGTATAATGTGGAGCAATCAACGCGACATTATGCAAAGGTAAAACATTGCATTGCATTTATGTGAATCAAAGAGAAAGAGAAAGAGAAAGAGAAGAGAGAAGTGAAGAAAGAAAGAAATGTGTAAAATGTACGTGCCCACACTTTAGTTAAATATTCACACTAGATATAATGCAATGTGTGTATCTTCCTTTCCTTCAGAGATACAAAACAGAGTTTTTCTTTGATAACTTTGCCGTAATGTGCTCAGTGGTTCAGTGGTGCTGTGGCTCAGTGTGTCTGCTCTGCTCTGTGGAGTCGATGCTGACATCATCGTTTCGATATAGTTCGAGCTTTGCATATGTCATGGCGAGGCTAAAGTATTTATCTATGCACAAAAGGATTTCGTTTGTCAGCGCTTTTTCTCTCTGTGTGAAAAATAGAAACAGATAATCAAATGTAATAAATCTTTTGTTTCCGCTACAAAATTATAGAGAACTGTCAAGGAGAAGCTGTCTATTTTTTGCAAGTATTTTTTGGTCGAGTAAGGCTGCTGCTTGAATAGATATTTTGTAAATAATAGCTATACATATAGATCATATTTATATACTATATACCATAATGTGACATTGTCAATGAAATTGATTTATAGCAGCTAGACATATTAGTAGTAAAGGAAAAAGGAAAACTTTTTATTAAGCAAAGTTTTTTTTTTTATTTTTGCAGCAATTTAATTTTCAAATTAATTCTAAAGTAAAATTAAAGCCAATAGAATATAGAAATCCCATGTCCATCTTTATGCAACTATTTCACTATTTAATAAACTAAAATCGAAATTCCATCTAAAGCCCACAAGCTTATGCTGAGCTCCCTTTAACCAATTCCAATTAAATGCCAAACAATAGTCTCCACTGCAGCTGAAACATAACAAAGCAATAAATGGAAATATGAATGGAAATTGAAGCAGTTTGGCTCAATCGGATTTGTGCCATGCAACCGAAATCTCTTTCGCCGGAAAATTGTGTTGAGAGAGACACAAGTGGAAATTGGCAGCATTCGATATAGAAATGAAAGCCAGAGAGAATGAGATTAACTAAGTAGTTAGGCTGGACTTTAATGAGTTTTAGTCAAACGAGGGTTGTATTATTATATATTAAAATTATGACAAAATAATAATAAATAAATGACTTACCGAAATTTTATTTATTGCCTGATAAATTTGCCTTTTTTCTGTAAATAAAATTAAATAAAATAAAATTAAATAACATATACAATTTTTTTTATTATTATTTTTATTTTTATTATTATTATTATTATTATTATTATTATTATTAT